TCAGTGCAAGTTGAGTACTAAAACTAACATTGCCATTATTACACAAATAAAAAATATACCGCGCTGATTAAAATAATCCACACTTTTTGCATTGCAGAATTTTTCATGGCATCCATGCAAGCTTTTCGTGAATCACAAATGTGTTTAAAAAATGTGCTTTGGTGATGCCAAGTTTCACTTCGTTGATGCGGCCGTACGCCAAAATACAAAAACAACAAAAAGAACAAGCAATTTTGAGCAGAAATATTGCAACGAAGTAACAAGTTTTTCAGGTTAAGTGCAGCTTATGGAAAAGTAAATGCATGCGCGAGTGCAATTTAGTTTTTTTTTATTTATTAATTCTGCAAAATTATTTTACAGAGATCTACCAAACCCAAATGGAATGTTAATTACAATTGTGGCAATGATTTGAAAAAAAATTTCAAATATTTAAATACTATAATTTAAACTTTTAAATTAGTATATGTTTTCATTTCAAAGTACGAAATTAATGAAAAAGTAAATGAATAAAATTTACAGTTTTAAAAGAAAAGGCAAACTCAAACTTAAAATGAATCAACACCCTGGAAGTTATTGTCTTTTTATTTTTGCTACATTTCGAGCAGTCATTGACTTTAGAAAAAAATGAAAAAAACTAAATAGAAAGAAAGGAAAACTTTTACAAGCGAAACAAAACAACACAAAAGACATACAAAGGCCACAAAGTAGTCAGCGATCATGTTCAGCACCACCAACTTTGATCCCTGCTTGGTGTACGTTCGTGATCGCATTTCTACTAGAGCATTGGCATTTTCTCTGTGAAGATTCGCAAAAAATACCTTTGCAACTTCGTGATAAATGAAAATAATAAATAATATTTCGCAAAGAGAAAAAGGTCTCATAGTAACTGTATAGCGCAAGAAATATAATCACATAAATGAAAAAATTCTAAGGAATTAAGACGTAAATTAAATAAATCATAAAACCAAACAAAAATTATAAATAAGCCTGCCATTTTTGTCTAACAATTCTACACTTACAGACTTATAAAACTAACGAATATTTTTAAATGCTACTGATGATGAATATTTGACGATATTCAAAAAATTATATTAATTAAAAAAAAAATTTTGTTTACTACTATTCTAAAACCCTTCTATTGGTATCATAGTTTTATTTTGTCATACATATTTAACTTCAAAAATTAAGTTTAAAAATAATATCAGGTGATATAAAAAGTATCCACTGCTTTTTGGGACATTTTCGAACAAATACTTTCCTGATTGAAAATTAAATTTAATAAAATTTATATTAGCAATTGTTATATGTGATCATTTACCATTTTTCGAGTAATTTTATGATTTTGTCGGTATATAACTTCTATAGTTTATTAGAGCAAAATTTTGCCAGGTGATTTTCAGGCTCTTCGGTTGGCCAAAGTTGCACAATTAAAACAATTTTGCAGATTCGGGCAATACAGTGAATGCATCAAAACTTCCTAAATAACTTCTGTCAGATTGTTTAGGGTCAGAAAAGATGTGTATGAACTGACATTTTGGCATTGTCAGTAAACGACAATAAAGAACCGAATTAACCATTCTACAAAGCTGGAGGAGCCCTTGAAAGACTTCATAGTAACCAATATTATTCTAAAGTTTTTTCATTAAAATCTGTAAAATCTGCGCTTGGGTGTAAAACCTTGAAAGAATGCATAAAGAACCTTTCTTGTTAAAGAGTTCAGGAATTCTTGCAAAATGGGACTGTAAAGAGCGTAAGTTAAAATAATTTCTGAATTTATTTAATTTATTTATTTAGTTATGAACCAAGTATATATGTAAGTAATATTAAAAAAAATAACAGACTCCTTAACATTATTTAATAACTTAATTTGGGCACACATTGAAAATATTACTTAACATAAAAATTTCCTTACTTGAAAAAAAAACTACTTATTCTTCAAAAAAAAAAAAAAATTTATAGTCTAAAACATAAAAGAAAACAGTCTATAGTAATAAATAATAACGTAATTAAAAAATAAAAACTCTTATATTCTTCAAAAAAAAAACTAAAACTTATAAGAACCCTATATTAATAAATAATAATTCAATTGAAAAACGAAATATAGATATACTAATTTTTGATTATACTAATAATCGTTTATCATTTCATTTTGCATAATGATAAATTTTTCATAATTTAGAAAATATATATAACTTCTACAATCAAATCAATATTTTAATTAAATTATTTCAATTGAAACAAAAAAAATGTTTCACCTTTTAAAATTCATAAATTTAAATAAATTCAACATATAAATGTTGAATATAAATTCTTAAAATATTCAAAATTGTTTTTAATTAATTTGTTATATATAAAATGTTATAACATAATTTTTAGAAGGTAAACTTTGTCATACTGTAGTTTAATCCAATCGATCTAGTAAATGGCTTACTAAGGCCATAAGGAGATAAATCACTTCTTGACAATATAATCTAAAGATAATAAAATTTATACAATTTCAATATGTTTTATGTGTTTATATTTTATATATATGTTATATATGTGTTTATATTTTAGTACCAATATAAATTTTAATAATAAAATGTTAAAACCATTGGAGAAACTTGTTAATTCTAAAAAATAAATATGAAAAAAGAGATTATATAAGAATTAAGAATTTAAGAGCAGATTGTATTTAACCACATTAAATAACAACATCATTTTTTACGTATACTTTTTTGCATACAAATGGATGTGAATATAAACACAACCTCTTGTTAAAACGAAACCACTCTAACTCTAATTTTAATTAATTTAGTAATTGTACAAAAACTACGACAAAAATTTTGTCTAATATAATTTCTCGTTATTACACTATTTCATCCTGTAGAATCAATTCTTCAGATAAATACATTTCTCTCTGCTATAGTTGGATATTTTGTTGATCTGGGATTGGTTAAATCAAATTGCTTACTGGATTGAACGACCAATTTGTTAAGTAATGTGTGAAACACCATGTCCTATAATATAATTCATTATCAACAAACTATCAAACATCTTTAAATGAATTTTTCAGATAAAATAAGTTACATTTTTATTTTTGCTTCATTTATATGTTCAAGAGATGATTTAGATAAAATCAAAAATCAAAATAGTAAAGAAGTGTGGTATCATCACCCACAGATCTGTTAGGTAGAAATACTTACATCAACTTTAATCCTTAAAATTAAAAGGATTACTAACAATCTGACTTAATTGTGCGTGATAAAAACAGGAAGACACAAAATTCGTAATATAAAAAAAACTTCACAACACCATTCAATTAAACAAAAGAATTCATGCCGGTACACTAAAGAGATAAGGTATGAAGGTATAAAAGATAAAGAAGGAAATGATTATGGCGCAATTATACGCATCCTGCCAACAGCTGTTGTTTAGGATAACGTAAAATATATTTTTGGCACACGAATCGAACCAAGTCAGACAATGAAAATGCAAACATAAAAACAACCAACAATTCTCAATATTATATAATAAGTGCAAATAAAATGGGGAAGTGCAACAGATGACACCCTAAAATTTAGTAAAATTAAAAAAAGTTTCCTGCAGTTGGGAATTCGACAAAATTGCATGTTTAACTCAAATTTATTTTTGTGTTTATGTGTTCTTATTTAAATAAAATAGGTCAAGGACTTTACGATCAAAACATTTACATTAACTTTAATATAAAATAAATAAGGATATTAATTTATAAACATAATAATATATTTGGATATCCCAATTAAGTCATATACAACTTGTCTAAAACAAATGTCCACCAAATTGAAGAAATAAATAAAGCCGATTTAATAGTCGCAACTTAATAATGACTTAAGGTAAGTAACGTATGTTTTTTAAGTGTGATTAAAGTTGAATATTGCTTACATAAATTAAATAGCAAAACGTGTAACATTGTTTGCAATGATATGGTTTTGTGACAGTTATATATCATACCTGGTCAAACTGGGCGAATTCGAAAGCCTTGAACGTCAACGAATTTTCAAAAAAAGCTTTAAAAAAAGTTTTAAGAGTTGATATGAAACAGAAAAGCTGCATATTCTAATTATTCAAGAATATTTCAAATATTTTTAAATAATTTTTTTTAAATATTAACAATTTCTGTTAACTAGTATAATAATAAAAAGTAAGCTACGTTTTCATTAATTTTCATTAGAATTTGATAATAGAATTTTATTCGTTAAAAATTCTATTATATATCGTTAAGCCACTTAGGAGTGGGCATTGCTCCTAAAACCGAAAAAAAAAGTTCAAAAACAGTTTAATTTAAATTTATTTATACAAGTGAGAACTTATATATAATTAGGCCATTTCTTTTGTAAGCATATCGCAAAAGAACAAGATAAAATAAATACTACTTTTGATGGCAACTCTGGAAGAACCGGAAGTTTAGTTAGGCTTATATATGCAAACACGTAATAAAACTTAAAGTTAAAGTTTTAAATATAAATAATAATTCTTCACAACTTCAAGAATTGCGTATAATTTTTTAATTTCAGTAAATTAAAAAGAATTAAGTATTATTTGTCAAATATTTGTTGACCGTTAATTAGGAATTTTCCTAATGAAAACAAAAGCGAATTTGCCGAAATACGTATAGATATATAAAAAAAAATTAAGGCTCGAAATAAAAGTTAATATTTTTTAATCTATTGCTTAGTTTAGATTAATCGTTTATATATACAAAATCGTTGTATTAAGGTAATTAATGTTGAAATACCCTGTATATACGATATCGTTATAAAATCAAACTTCACTGCTAATACAAGAATCTTTTAAATAATTTTACAACACTAACTTGTTTTGAATTATATCAATACACTTTTAAACACACAAACTGGAGAAACGTCAAATTTTCTGTGATTATTCATTCGGTGAAAAAGTGCAGGATAATTTTTATGATTTCATAAATTGAAATTTAATGTAACGAAATTTAAGCAAACATTAATGACATTTTATTTTTAAACTAAAAGTGATGAAATGAATTTATCGTTTATTGAAGAAAGTTTTTATTTTACTAAAATTTCGTACGATTTTCTTAAAGGCGTAGCAGTAAATTCATCTATTCTACTTAAGACCGAAATATACAATTTTAGCAGCGGCTGGAAAAGCCCTATTGAATTTACCCCTCTTCAGTTCATCCTACTGAAATTGGTACTATTACTCATTTTCAGCACAGCTCTTTTAATAGCTTATTCCTGGCACATATACGGTAGAGTGATCACAGAAAAGTTTGTACGACCAAGTAAGTTTATTGTAAGTATATATATATAATATATATATATAAAGAAATATAAATATATATATATATATAAATATATATATATATATATATAAATACATATATAAAAATATATATATAATACGTATATAGATGTATATATAAATAAATATATATATATTTAAGAAAATTACATACATTTCAGGTACGTTGAAAGAGATCGAAGAACTTAAACGGTCCGTCGCCAATCTAAAACTTCCTAAAGAGCATTCCCCAAGAATATAAAAACTTAAAATGTCAAAAATTAAGAAATATTTTTTAAAAAAGAAGCAAGAGGCTTCATTCAAGGTAAATAAATGGATGAATGCAGAATAAAGCACTATATAAATAGAACTTAACTGTGCTGTATATCAAATAAATATAATTAGGTTTATAAAATTAAAAAAAAATTTTTATTGACACAACTGTTATTATTTTTTAGTTTCTAGAAATATTTTAAAGTATTAAATATTAATTTAAATTAAATATAATAATAATAATAACAAATATTTAATATTTGGCTTATATCTTTTATAGCTTAAGCTGGGTGGCAGTATGGGGCAAGGGCATGCATTGAATGCACCTAAACCAGAACCATCAACATCTCGCCAATCACGCGATACTTACGTTCCACCAAAACGTAAAGAATTGAGCGCAGAAGCAAGAGCAGCAGCTGCTGCTGCATTAGCACGAGTAGATAAAAGGGATTCTAAAGAGTTTAACACTTCCTTAGCAGCAATCAAAGCTCAAGCAAAGCGTGAACTTGAAGCAGAAAGAAAGTTAAGATCTGCCGAATCAAGTCAAACTGATGTAGCAACTACTTCGACTGTTTCTATTAGACAAAACGAAAATCTTGCATGTCAAGGGGTTTTCTTCCGCTGTCCATTAATAAGTGAAGAAATATTGCCCAAAAAGGATTGGAAAATAAAAATTAAAGAGTTCCTGTACCAACAGTTAGAAGGGGAACGCGCACTTACCGCATGTCTAATTATACATAATTGCAATACTAAAGAGAAGGTCAATAATTTTTTTTTATAATATATAACTAATATAATATATATATTTTTTAGGCAGAAGATTGTATACAAACTTTAACAAAATATCTGGAAAATATTATCAACCACCCCGATGATGAAAAGTACTGTAAAATAAGAATGTCTAACAGGTGATTCGTTTTAAAAATAATATGAATTTCAGTGTTAAAATTGAATGTGTGTTACAGAATTTTTAGTGAAAAAGTGCGTTATGTTGAAGGGGCATTAGACTTTTTACTTGCCGCTGGCTTTCAAGAAATTGAATTAGATGGTGAACCTTTTCTACTTTGGTCTAAGGAACATACAGAAACGGATTTCGATTTGCAAACTTTGTTAGAAGCGTTGAGGAACGCAGAACCCATTCCATTAGAATTGGATCGAAATATTAAAGTATTGTTACCATCACAAGTAAGGAGAGTAACACTTCCAGATGACTTCTACAGAATTTCACCAGAAGAGATCAAGCGTGAACAGCAATTGCGAAGTGAAGCTATTGAAAGTGCACAAGTGCTTAAAACAAAAGCAATGCGGGAACGCGAGGAGCAAAGAAACTTACGCATGTATCGTTACTCTTTAGTCCGTGTTAAGTTTCCGAATGGAATTTATATTCAGGTGAGTTTGATGCACATATTATATAGCCAGTACTGAATTTCGGTTTTTACAAAATTAGGGCACATTCAATGTTTACGACAGAGTCAGTGATATTTATGAATTTGTACAATCATGTTTAATCGATGAAGCAACTGAGTTTAATTTGGTAATATCAAGTGGTGGTAAATTTACCGAAGCAGATTTGGATAAAACTCTTTATGATATGCGGTATATAAAAATATATATCTTAAATTTGTTATAAACTAAATATTTCTTTTCTTTTTAAGACTCATTCCAAACGTCTCACTGCTTTTTACTTTAACAAATGAAACTGTTATTAATTCCGCTGATGTTAATTTTTTGAAAGAAGAACTATTAATGTTGGTTCAATCCATATGAAAAAATAGTTGTACAAATTTTCCTAAAATTACACATGTTGCCACTTGTTGCTTGAGTTTATTATATCTTATACATACACACATAAAAAAATATATTTGTAAATTATTTAATTTATTATGCGAATAAAAAATGGAATTTATTAAAAATTAGTAGTAAATAATGTATTACAACAAATTTATTTAAAAATTTTTGTTGATAAAATGCTATTATTAAATTTTTTATATATTTTTTCAATTTATTTCAAAAATGCTTTTATTAGAATATAGATATCAGTGTTAAAAAGTAGAAATGAAAACAAATTATTGTGTCCAGGTGACTTATTGCCTAGGGGCTACGTATATCTAAGCCAGAAAGCATGGGTAAGGCGCAAGTAGATTGGGAATAGGTGAAGTAGGTGGGGTTATAGCGCAAGCACAGGATTTGGAAAGCGGTAGACTCCGTGATCAAGGTCACGAGAGCAACGATTGTATATAAGCATGGTGGAGGCATAAGAGTCTCGCTCATCGAAGTACGGTAAAAGGTGTTGGGGGGATCTGGAAGCGCAAGGCTTAAATGAGATCTGCGAAAGGAAACGGTAGTTGAAGACTACTATAAAGAGTATGGAGGAAGTTAACGTTGATTTGGACGATGTTCATCTCGGGACAAACTCAAGGACCTTCTAGACAAGGAAGGGTTTCCTACCAGAGGGAGAGAAAAAAAGTTGCTGCTTGATGAGAGACAGGTTTTAATTTTAAAATTTTCTTACTATTACTATGTTTAATTGTGAAAAACTAAATGGCTTCAGTGGTAGTATTTGTTTAAATTTAAATCACATATTATTAAAATGTTGTTGTTACTCGGGCTCAATATAAAGCAAATGAGTTTAAGTTCAAATTATAAATAATATAGAATTTATTATTAAAACTATTTTGCAATGACTTTCGACTTTCTTATGTTTATTCACTTCGTGTGCATGCAACATAAATTATGCATATATTGGCAACTCTGCAAATAACTGACAAATGTCAAAACTGACACAATCGTGTTTTGTGTGTTGAGACCAAACAAAAAATTATTTATGCTTATAAATTAATTTTGTTGCAAATTAATTAAATGGATACGAAAGTAAAAATGTAAGTCTATTAATACTATTATTTATATGGGTACTTTTATTTATCAATATTATTTGCTGTAGTTTGGTAACAGGAGATGTTTGCGGGAATTTCAATCAGCTTTTTACGAAAGTGAACAAAACAAATCAAAAAGCTGGGCCATTTGATATGTTGCTTTGTGTTGGAGATTTTTTTGGCAAATTAGAAGATAATGAGAAATTAATAGCATATAAAAATGGTGCTAAAATTAGTATGTTTTTTTAAAAACCTTTTATAAAATTATATTGTAAATTATCTTTCGTTAATATATTTTTATTACTTAAGTTGCTGTACCCACTTATATACTTGGACCAACTAAAAATGAGCATCTAATGTTTTATGATGATATTGAGGATGGGGAAATCTGTAGCAATTTAACCTATTTAGGTAATAAATAATCTATTTAGTTCAATTATATTTCATTATATTTTCTCATTATTACATTATATTTTCTGATTTTAGGTAAGCGCGGTCTTTACACACTTAGTTCAGGAATTAAAATTGCTTATTTGAGCGGAATTGAAGAATCAAAAGATTCCAACAAAGAATGCTGTTTTAACAAAGATGATATCATTACACTTCGCAATTCATGTTTAGTTAGTAAAAGTTCAGCCAGTGAGTATAAGGGTGTTGATATTCTTTTGACTTCCCAACAACCTTTCGGAATACAAGAAAATAATGTATGTAATTCAATTTAAATACAAATATGTACTTTATATATATTAACAATTCGTTAAATAATTGTAGTCAAATGCATCAAAATTGATTTCGTTTCTTTGTAAAGAAATAAAACCACGTTATCATTTCTGTAGCTCAAATAATGGTAGTTATAACGAACCAGCTCCATTTAGGTAATGCTAATTATTTTTAAATTACAGCAATATTTTATTCGTTTAAAATCTCATAATATTTATAACAGGATACCAGCTGATCAATCAACGCAATTAGAGTTATCTACTCGATTTATATCTTTAGCAAATGTGGGCAATGCAAAAGAGAAATATATATATGCATTAAATATGACTCCTGTAGATAAAATGCGTGTTATGGAACTAATACAGAAAACCACGAATGAAACTAAATGTCCATATCTAGGAATCGATTTTGCCGATTACAAAATTTCTAATGAAAATGTGTGTACATCTTCAAATATGATAAATGATATGCATTATATACAATAAGTTTCTTTGTTTTCTATTTAGTCCGACAAAAGACAGTACTTTTACGATATGCAAGCTGGCAATGAAGAAGATCGTAAACGTAGAGGTGGTGGAAAAGGTAATCGCAAAGAAAAGCGCCCAAAGTTTCAAGGGATTGCGCAGGGTAAATAGCAATAGAAAAAATAATATTACAAAATTTTATTTTAAACAATTTTATAGAAAAATGTTGGTTTTGCCTATCATCTCCGGATGTTGAGAAACATTTAGTGATCTCGGTGGGTGAACATTTTTATTTGGCATTGGCTAAAGGCCCAATTAACGATTATCATGTATTAATTATGTCCATTGTACATATACAATCAGCTGCTCTACTTACTGAAGACGATTGGGAAGAATTGACTCGATTTAAGGATGCATTAAGAAAATTTTTTCAGGCAAACAATCATGAAGTGTGCTTTACTGAAAGAAATTATAAGTCGTCACATATACAAATCAACGCATTAGGAATTGATAAACCACGCGCTTGGAAAATGGCACATAGCTTTGAGGTATAATACTTAACTAATTCAAATTAATATTACATTCTTTATATGTAATGAACATGCTTTATTAAGATACTTGTGACCCAGCAAAGAAGATAGTCAACTATATAGTCGTATTTTAATGTATGGTTTTGTAGTATATTTGTTGGAAGAGAATTTTTTAACACTAATTTTGGGAAGTTACCTTACAAATTTGTTGATATATTTAAGTTGAAATGGGGCGTAGTGTTTCACAATAAAGCTGGAGTTAATGGTCTAATGCTCTACAACCTGGAACCTTTGCATCCGCCCCTTGAGAAATGACTAGGTGTCTGTGTCTTGATACTGATAGACTTCAAATTTAATCCCACTCATTCTTAATCCTAATATTATTTTCTCTCTCATGCCACCACTATCTATTCGCATCGTAACCAAAGTAGATACTTGCTGGTTACAACAATACTCGGAATTTTCATCAACGACTAAGCAACACATACCATACTCACTGAAATTATAACGTCCACAGGGAACACATTTCACTCCGTTTGTCTAGAAATTGTAGAACAACTGCTTTTATTACCTAAAAAGTATATTATACCATTAAGTTTACTCCTCAAAGTTTAACTTTGAGGTGCACATTCATCATTAAATTTATTTTTAAATCTTCAAAATTCTTACCAGAGGTCCTATTAATATTTAGACTGCAATATAATACACATTAATAAAATAGATTGAACTATTTTATAAACAACCGTATAAGTTTAATTAATCTACGACCATTAACATAATTTATTTTCATTATAATAGGACAAAGCAGAAGAATATAACTTAGAATTTGAAACTTTGCCAGAATTAACTTCACCAGAAATGTTGCCATCTCAGGGACCTTATTTTGTAGCGGAACTACCAGACAAAACATTGTTGACGCGAAATATGAATCATTTTCCATTACATTTTGCAAGGTAATTATAGTTACATATCTATGTTTAATGGCATTAAAAAAATTTTTAAATCTATTTTTTTCAGAGATGTGTTTTGTGCACCTAATTTATTAGATTGCGAAGATAAAGTAAATTGGAAAGACTGCTGTTTAGATAAAAATGAAGAAATTGAATTAGTCAAAGATTTTCGCGAAAAATTTAAAGAATATGATTTTACATTATTATAACTAAAATAAACTACAATTACAAATGTAATAGATTTTAAATAAATTTATTAACATAAAATAAATTCTAATTATAATCACACACAATATATATTTATAATAATTCTTTAAGGATATACCGACTCTTGTATTTGACATTGTAGTCTTAAAAACTAAACTATAAAATCAGTTTTAAAGCATGCGTTTTATATAAAAATTTTAGTTGTATGTTTATATACATATAAAAACCTACTAACTATTGAAGAAGCAATGATTAGTTCTTTTAAATGAGGCACTAACAATTTATGAAGCTCTCTGATAAATTTTATTAAGAATTTCCAAGAAAATTTCATGTGGCACGCCACGAGATGTTTGTTGAATGTGTGTCTTGATCATATTATAAGAATCTTCTTCGTAAGTAGCATAAGTATTCGGTATGCCCAATTCTTTATATAGTTCTTTTACTCGTTCTACGTTTTCAGGATCTAAAAAATAGATAGCGTATAGTATTATTATTCTTAAAATTTCAATCAATCAATACTATATTTAGTATATTTAAATTATATAAATTTAAATTATTTGTTTGAACAGATAAATCTAAATTACTAATATTTAAATTATAAGATAAATTGCTTTAATATAAGTATACCTGTTTTTCCATAACATTCAGCCATAATAGCTTTTTGTTCATCGTTGGCACGTTGCATACAGACAACAGCTAACCAAGAGCATTTATTATCTTGTATATCTGTTCCAATTTTACCAGTTACTTCCGGATTGCCAAAACAGTCCAGAAAATCATCTTGTACTTGGAAGAAATGACCCATTTCCAGCAAAATCGTTTTAGATTGGCGAAAAGCTTCCGCATCCTTATAACTGAAAAGTAAGAAAGACGTGAATGCAAATGATTATAAAATTTATATTAAAATTTTGAGCAGGGTTGTGAATTGCTTTAATCTTTTGGTTGAATTGGTTTGGTTCAGAGTTGTGATACTTCGAACAACCAACTCAATTTTATATAGACTTCGTATCAACAATTCCAGACAGAAATTGCTGATTTGGTTTGTGGTTTGATTCAATTACGCACAAAAGTAAAAAGTTCTAGTTCAGAACTGATTCACAGCTCCGATTTCGATAAAAAAAAAGATAAAATGATGTAACTCACCCAGCTAAATGCATAGCTAAGGCAAAAGGTAAATAGAATGTATAGTAGGCAGTCTTATTTGCAACGATTGATTTGTAAGTATCCATTGTGAATGCTGTGACATTGTTTTTTGAATTAAGCAAATCCAATGATTGACCACAAGATGTGATAAAAGTTATTTCATGGAATAATTCTAGTAGTTCATTGTAGCAACTCAAATGACCAAAGTGCTTCTTGAGTAAAGTGTAAATGCCATTTTCAATCATAATGGCGTCGTTAATAGCAGTGAGCCCAACGTTCTCCATTTTATACCAGCATGGTTGACCGCGACGAGTGGTACTAGCATCCATTATATCATCATAAATGATGAGAAAACTTTGCAGCTACAACAAAATAATTATATCAAATTAAATCGAAACTAAAATAAAGTAAACAGGTTTACCATTTCTACACACCAACCCAAATACTGTGCTAATTTAATATTCTCCGGTGTTAACATTTCACTTTTGACTAGATTTTTGTATGTTAATACGGTTAGTAATCCTCGGTTTTTCTTACCCCGTGGAACATTATACTGTAATGCCTAGGAGAATGAACAGATCCTCTGAATTTTTTTTAAAGTCAATATATTTTTTTCTTAAACTAAATCTACCTTAGCAAACCATTTTGCTGCTTCTTCGGTTTTGTATTTTTTAGAAGCTTCTGTAAGGTCACGCACTAAATCTGTAACAAATGAATAAATAATTTAATATATGTGCATTATTCATTAATAATAATAATAGAAAAAAAATGTTTTCAAATGAATATGTTCTCCCATCTACATATTTAACGAAAATATTTACGATTGCTTTATTTTATTTATTTAGATCTTTATTTAGCATTATTGTGTGTTAAAATGTTTTCAATAGAAAAAAGCTTTTAAACATTTAAACAATATCAATTATTTTTAAGAAAAAATATTAAATTATATTAAATTGAAGTGTTAAGTGTTAGCAAAAACAACCAGAAGTTAATGATAAAATATACAAAGTTGAAAATAGATACACATATTTGCATTTACCTGGAAAAACGGCCATGAAGTCACGACTCTCATCTTTCGATACGGTGACGCGGGCAGCAATTGGCACTGAATGATTTTGTAGAGTTGATAAAGTTCTGCAATAGATAATAGAAAAAGTTTAATATATAGGCTTTGAAATCTAGACTAATTACATAAAATTATCGTTCATAGTATTAAATTGCATCAATTATTTCTAAATTATATGCGTCTTATTAAGTTAAATTAAAAATTAAATGTAAAAAATGCTTAAAATGTAAGGCACTTGGCAGGAATGAACGATACTTTATCATCTAATAAGATCCCTGGAACAAAATGTGCACCGGGACACTAGAATTCATAGCAATGGATTTGCTTATGAACTTCCAAGTAAAGCAGTTACTAAAAAAGAAATTATTTAAGAAAGCTAAACTTTATTACTAAGCATGTAAGAAGCAAAGAAAGAATTTTTTTTATATAACTGGTTTTCAATATGGAACTTTTCTGATGATATTCATGATTTGGGTTCGGTTAGGTTAGAGTGACGGCTTTGTGCCCAAAGTTAATATATCATGTACCATGTACGTTGTTCATATCCAAATCAGCGTAGCCCATTCATGTGAAAGTGAACCAACCTCACAAGTTCATAACCTTGACTAAATATCTAACTTTGATGGGTAACAGCTCTGTTAGATCGGTAAGAATTTTCTCCTAATTAATGATAGAAACCAACATATATGGTGGAGTACAGTTTCCACTTTATCCGCAAAGCAACAACTCTAACCAAAGTCATTATAGAATAGACCCAGCCTCATAGCATGTCTTTCTAGTACATAGTGACCTGTCAACATAGTATTGAGCAAGTTATGCTACAGTTGAAGCGGCTGACTCGTACGTTTCTTGCTCAATTTAAACCAGTTCATCTAGCCTCCCGTTCCCGCAGATGAACTGATTCAAACTGACATAACATAGGTTAGGTTAGGTTATACTTGCTCAATACTATGCTGTCTCCAACAGACGATTATCAACTCATTGTCGTATACTTTGTTTTTCAATATATTTTTAAATAACTCTAACCAATGTTTTTAGACTTAAGGCATAATACTTTATGTTCAAAAATTTTGAAATTGAATAATAAAGAAGAATCTATCTATCTATCTATCTACTTTGCTGTCAATGCTGATGGGTCAGGGTCACTATGTTCTAGAAACGGTAGGGTTCATCTGCCTTAGTTTGTTCAGTGTAATGCTCAGATATTTTTGTTTGATTGTCAGCTTAGTCGTTGCAAATAGGACGCCTGCATTGATAAGCTCGTCTGCCATGCAGTTATAATAGATGTCCTCTTATATATATATAGTAAGAGAGTACAGAGTTCTTCTAAAAATCTACTAACATAACTAAATATCAATACTTTCAGCTATTTTGCTGATTAACTGCAACAAATACGCCCAAAACGAGAAAAAGTGCTAGCTAAAAGCAATAAATTTAGGAAATTTAAGTGCCCACCTATGTTTATAAATATCTGTAGCACACCAAACTGTTGTCCTACCTCTAATACCTTAGTTTATTAGAAATTAATTTCCAAATTAATTTGGATATTGAAGAAAATCTATATTATAGAACAAATTAATAATACTTTTGTTTTTATTTATTTTTATCATGTTTTCCCTACGTACTTTGCACTTCGAATGCCGGCACAACAAACAAATCATTAAACTTCTGTAATCTTTTTTTACGAGCGCTGAGGTAGTAACAGATAAGAGAGACGAAAGTAAACATGCCATGCCAAATCTCCTGCTTTGTTGTTTACAATTTTATTGAAGTGTTTTTCTGTTATGTTTTGAATACAAAAATCGAAAACAAAAATTGGAGAAAGCTTCATAATTGGTATGGGTTGATTTTCTACTTTTAAAGAATTCTATTTTAAAAATTGAACTACTTCTGCGATGCGTAATACTTCGCTTATGAAATATTAACTTTAATGTTCATTTGAAGCAAACGTGAAAATACAGCCCCGATTTGCGCTATTTAATTTCATTGTTGACTTTATTTTTTATAATTTGTATTAGTTTCACTTATTAATAATAAATAAATTAACGAGCGCTGCAGTTCTATAATTAACGTAACTCTGATAGAAAGAAACCATAGTCATTAGGTTAAAATTGCTTCTCTCTATTATTACAGTTAAACAAATAAATAATAAAATAAATATTCTTAATTTTTTTATTAGCAGCTTCAAGAACCAGTACTGTGCGATAAGAAGATATTTCAATGTTTACTTGTCTTAACACGATATTTAGCATGACGAAGGCGTGATAGCCAGGAACGTGTGTATAAGAACTATGAAAAACAAAAATAGTGTAAACAAAGCAACGCATTATACACATAAATAACCTGTTTGAACTACGTTCTAGATACGGCATACATTAAATTGGCAGGGGGTGCAAATGGAAGTTATGGTTCGATTCAAACAAAAACAACAATGTTTAGAATAAAGAAAACAAGTGTAAAGATAATCGCATGTAGCTATAAAAACAAAACATATGATTGAAACCAAAAATTGGTAAAAAGGAAGAAAAACAAAAGTAGGAATTTTTTTTTATCTCGAATATGTAGTAAGGACAAGAAGATATAAATAAAATAGAAAATAGAAAATAAATAAAATATACAAATACACAAAGAATTTTATTTGATTCCTGTTTAAGCTGTTTCGTATTTTCTCAAATGTGGTCTACGTGACTAAAATAGCTTAGCATTTTGAATGGGTGTTATGTTCCATCCACCGGGTGATGTTAGAGTTTGGGAATGCATTTTATTTTGAACTTCAACTCACCTTGATGTTTTCTTCAATTTTTGTTGATTGACTAAATCTGTTGGTAGACCTCCTATAGTATCAACTGCCTTAGTTACATGTTCTGAATTCTGTACTCCTTCACCAGTGGATATGAACGAGTTCTGCCCATTAGTGTTGATAACTGAAGTTATGGGTGAACTAGCAGTTACACGCATCAATTGTGGTAATTTGCGCATTAATGCAAACATTTTGTAGCTATTTTTATTAAAGTTTTAGAATTATCTATATATATTAACATGCAGTTCTCCAGTTTACTTCAAATTTCTTTCATTAATTTAAATTAATTTAAAATTTTCTATTACACTGTATAAACACACCACACACTACGCAGCGATAAAAGCAATGAGCGAAGAATATCTGAGCACCTCACCTTTTATAGTTTTATTATCACCACTTTCAAATGGAATTTCACCATGAAATTTGTCCGGCGTTTGCAAGTACTTTTTTTTATTTGTGTTTACTTATACTGTAGAAAGTACTAAGACGGCAACATTTTGAAAAAATAAATTAATAATAATAGCTACAAGCTATAAGGCACAAAAATAATATGTTTGTTATAAATTTTTTGTAATATTGTAAATATTATTTATATTTGTTTATAAATATCTATTTGTTTATATTAAAATTAGATTAATATACGGTATAAAAATATAAATATATATACGGTGTTATATATTATTGAAGATTATTTATTTTTAAAATCATAAACAGAAAATATATATATTTGGCTTATTCCTGTGTATATTAATTATAGAAATTATTTTATAATAAATAATCTATTGAGATGAAGTTTCTAAATTCCAATTATAGTTTCAATAATTTGTATAATCATAATAATGATTGATAACTTTCATTTATAATGTAATAAAAAACTTATAAAAAAATAAAATTAATTAATTTATAATCTTTACTATCTAGCATATAAACAGATTTTTTTGAAATTAAAATGGATTAGTTGTATAGGCCGCCATTCCAATCTAACCGAAAGTAACTACATATCAATAACAACTTCACTTTCCAATTTTTCTCATATATATAAAAAAACTTCTATTTTGAATTTATTGAATAAAATTGATTTTAGACTATAAATTATAAATAATTCAACATTTATATTTTGTTTTGAATCACAAGTTTATTAAATCAATAAGGTGCGGTTTCATAGTCTTAAGTCATCAATTTTGCAGAATTAATTTATACTTAAGTCAGTTTTGAGACTAACATTACGCATGCGAAATCGAACCTAATTGTCACATTGAAATTTTCCGAGATGTGCTTTACTTGCATATCTATAACAAATATATCTAAACCCTTCATAACATTTCTGATTTTTTTCAATGAAATGTATCTATTTTCCTTGATGACTGAACGGAGTTTTTAGTTTGGATCTTTATAACGCAATAACTGCAACTTTTCATTATCGCATTTTTAAGAGGTGGTTTAAATAGGTTCTCAAGACAATAGAAAGTTGGACTATACAGACAATTGACTAGCAGCTATTTTGGATTTAGTTTTAAATTTTAGGTATAAACGAATGAAAATTTATAAAACTAAATTAAATTAAAGAAAAACTATGCAGTTTTACAGTGGTTTAGATTACCAAATTAATTAAATTAAAATTAATCGCCCATCTGTTTTCTTACCTCAACGCACACACCAATTTAAGTCCAATCGACCTTTGGACTCGTCCCCTTGAAGTGGCTAGGTTTCTTCGACTGGATCCTGGTTAGTTTCAAATTACTCCCACCCCTCCCCTTTCCCTCATCACAACACTCACTCCCACCTTTTCCATTCCTTATCCCATGTATTCGTCTTGTAATCCTTTCATGTTATCTGTTTTCAGGTCCCGGCGGGTTACAACAACAACAACAACAACCAAATTAATTAATATAATTTTATTAATTTTAAAGTAAATTTTGATTTGGTTCATTATGGTTATTTTTAGAAAATATGTCTTAAGCGCAATTAAATTTGTTGGAGTATTTTATTAAGTTGATCCATTATCTGATTATTAACTTTTGTTTATCTAGTAATTTTAAAAATTAATTTGTCTATTGCTGCTACAGTTTAACGTGTGAAACCTGATTTACTTTGCAAACTATCGTTCAGCTACATTCTACGTAATGTAAAAAAATCTGAGATTAAACATTTAGCATTTATATATCCTATATTTATAGATAAATGTTAATTGTCCACGACATTTTTTTAACATTTTTACTTTTTGTAAAATGTGGTTTTTTAAATCGAAAATCACAGACTATTGATTTTTTTTATTATGTTAAATCTTATATAATTCCATAACTTTCCCGAGAAAAATAGTTATATATTTGCGAATATAAATATATAATTTGAAAAGTGTAGTTCAAATAATTACAGTACAAAAAAATCAAACATTTTTTAGTTTCGTTTCTTATACAATATTATTTAATATAATTATGTAAGATTACAAGTAGTACAATTATTATTTTAAAATTATATATAATTAGTTTCTGAAATAGTACAATGTACACAAATACTTTTTTGTTTATTATTTTTTTAAAATATATACTTTTTTAACATATAAATTATTACTTTTTATTCAAAAAATTATGTAATAAACAATAATTTGTTATATATTTTCTTTTTAAATTAGTTGCCAATATTTAAACATTTGCTGACTAGAGTTAGTTTTACTTGCCAAGATATATCAAGAAATAGTACATATGTATATGTAAAATTTCATACTGAGTCATATTACATATATACATCTAACAAAACTTATTTATTTCTTTTAATTTTCCCTTTTATATTGAAAAACAAAAAGAACACTACATTATTATTTTGACAAAATTGTTAAATTTAAATTAGGTGGGACTTTAAAAATTAAACGTCTTTTTCTTTGTATCAAACCTTAAATATACAAACATAAAATCTATATAAAATTGTTTAAAAAAAAAACTTAAAATAAATACACAATAAAGAACAAATAGTTATAACATTTTACCATTATCTTAGAATGTGGAATGAAGACCTGTTAAGAAATCGTACTCAATTAAATTTAAGAACCTAACGCCTATTAAAAGAACCTTATTACTATAATTTAAATCATATAGCACGTAAAAGTAACAAGCTTCGAATTTACATACATTATGCACTTATAGACATGTGTGGCACGTACTTTATGTCGCACTATAACTAATCGCACTAATGCGTAAATATTTATAAGGTATAACAAAAATAGAACTAATTTCGGATCTATCAGTTTCAATACTCTTCATACGCAGTTGTACAAAAAAATTATTTGCTCTTGATTTTTTAATTGTTTTCAAGCTTGTTAATTAATTTTATTTCATTTTCAATTAGATCCGGAAGAATCTGTGTGGTAAGTTGTATTAGGTTAGTTCAAAAACTCAAAGACTACTAATATCAACTGATAAATACACCGATAGATATGCAAACACACTGAGGAGATATGTTTAGATCAATTCATACGACTAGGCAAATTGATTTAAAGAACTATTAAATAATCATTTTGAGAAACTGAAAATACCCTTTAACCAAAACATTGTGTGAAAAGTATAAATATAATTTTCACTCATGAATATGTGCCTGGATCTGTGACGACCACAATTTCGATCTTATTTGTGTAATATCTAACGTGCAAATAAGAAGCCTGCTATACAGTATTCTATAATTTAGTCGTCAAAAAATAATATCTCCAATATGCGCCTTTGTACTGTTTTACGTCGCTCTTTAGACATTTTTAATAATTCTGTAGTGACTAATTCACCAAGTAGGTGTTCAGAGCAGCGTTGTTGGTGACTTTGAGGTGCCGAAAATTTATTAAAACTTTGTTGTGAAGATTGTGTTTGCTGTTGGTGTGGAAGTTGTTGGTAAAGCTGAAATAAAAAGTCAGCATTTGAGGGAAACATTCCTTGTTGATTATTGTTGTTATTGTTGGAGCGTGTCATGGATGCAGCATTTGAGGTAGATGGTGCTGTGTTAAAATGATTAGAGTCTTGATGATTATTAAGAATAGTTTGCGGAGGTATAAGATTTGTGCTATTGTCATCAGAGTCGTCATCTGAATCATCAACAAAATGAGAATTGGCAGCATTAGTTGTTGAATTATTGTTACTGTTATTATTTGTATGGGACATATTGGCAGTTTGTGAACTAATTTGCACGCGAGGTTTCTTCATATTGAAATTGCTGCCGGTTGAGGAATCAAGGTCGTCATTGTTGGTATCATTATATCCATGTGAGGGTATTTGGTTAGACGATGAATGCGCAGCGACTTGCTGTGGCGTTGATGTAGAATGTCCTTTAAATAAAATAGATAAATTGAATTTCATATTTATGAAATATTGAATATTATTTACCTTGTCCAGCAAGTGTGCCATTAAGACTACTTGACAATGGAGAGGATAGTGGAGATTTCATCGATGATGATGATGACGGTATCCCAGCACCAACAGCACCGTTTGTAGTGTTATTGCCTACACCTAAATTACCAACGGTATTATCACGGTAATGTTCATGATAATTTTGGGATGAGTCGGCCATTGCTGCAGCCACTGCTGCGGCTTGGTGATGCATTTGCGATTGTGAGATTTGTTGTAGTTGTTGTGAAGCCACAGCGGCCGCAAAATCACGAAAGACCTGATCAGCTTCTATTTTTACTTGACCATTGGCATTTTCTATTGCAGAAGCAGCAGCAGCTGCTGAACTTAATGCATTCATTGGATGCTGATCCTGTTGCTGATGATAATGATGTTGCACGACTCCTGTGTTGCCAAAATGACTCATATTTTTATTAGAACCATTTGACTTTGAGTCCATATTGTATTCACTATAGTTGGAACTATTTGCTGAGTGTGGTGATGTTAAAAAACTAGGCACATTGCGATACGATTTACGAGGTTGTATATGTTGATCGAGAAATTTCATTTTTTCTAAATAAGGGCGTGAAAGATGTTCATAAACAGGTGGGTCTCCTTGTTTGCGCTGTGATACATAACGTTCCCGTAAATATTTCCAACGTTTCTTACATGTTTCCACTATTATGTGTAAAAGATATAAATAATTTATAATATTTTATTTTATAAGTTTAACAAATTAAATATTTACCATCTGTGCGCAGTTTCATAGCGATTATTTGCCAGGCTTCATCCTTTGTTTCATATTTGCCTGCACCACCACCTCCGCTCCCTCCATTCAAATAATATTTTTGCCGATTAAAAATTACACCATGAAGGGCTACTTCATCAATAAGCTGTTCGTCCATCATTGTGATGTTTAGAATTATTTACAAACTAACTGAATTTAGTATATATAATAAAATATTTGAACACTTTAGATTCAATTAATGTCTGCTCTTAAAGTTAATTATCTCTTAATTAATTTAATTAAAGCTGCACGCCGCAGTTCGGAGAGCAGAGCTCTGTGAGTTAATTCCAGGACTTTTTATATTATATTCTACACTTTTTTAATATTAAGATATAATTTTTGATTTCAAACAACTATTATACATAGAACTTTTAGCGAAATATATTTAAATTATTAGAATAAATTGGTCTTAATTTAACAAATCCAACAACAATCAGTGTTTGACATTCGCGTGACGTTTCTGCCAACAGAGAGCGACAATAATACAGGGTTGTTTTTAGTATTTAGTTTCGCAGTATTTTTAGACTCCGTAATAAGGCAGAACATTTACAAATCTGTTCATAGTTCTTATTGAAAAGAAAGAATTTTTTTTAAGTTAAAACATAAATTTTCTCGCTTTTGTCTATTGTTTTTCTTGGACAAAAACGTGTAACATATGAAATCATGAAAAGTATAAAAAAATTAGTTGGTTATATGCTCTTACAGCTTATTAGCAGTAGTATATGCACGTCGGCTTTGCGTTGCCGACAGCCAGATGTACCTGCTTTAATTTTCTCAATGTATATGGAATCCCTATGCTACGTTGGAATTTTGGTGTTAGAAGTAGTAGATTATTTTTAATATTACTAAAAGTAGAATAATTCTTTTTTGATGCAATAAATTTGCTAACACGATATGAAGTACTCAAATTCATTAAGATTTATGAGAGTACGGTATGTTACGACCAAACATCATGATGTTTGAGAAATATAAAATAAGAGGTATAATTTTTTAAAAATTCATCGTAATTTTTTTCAAAGTTGCAAACTAAAAACAATAGAGAAATGATGGAATTGCTTAAATTGCTTGAAATTGTTGCACGAATAAACAATGAACTATAACTCAATATACAATGCATATTGTTGGGTACACAATATTGTGCCTATTATTATACAAAAATGCTTATTTTAAAGGCACTGAGTGCGATATTTGGCCTGTCGTATGTAACTTCTGTTCAAATGATTATTTTTGTTTTTTAAATACAAAAACAAAGACAGTTTCCTCTACACTGCATTATCGTTCAAAATGGCTAATTTGTGTGCGCACGTTCATTTGAATTTGGTGCTCTCCGTTCCAGACATTTCGTTTTTATCCGCTTAATCGAATAATGGAATAAGTTCGGTTTTATATCCGAATATCCGAATAATATGAACAGCACTAATATGAACAAACAACTAACTGAAACAAGAAATATTATGTTAATCCAGCTTATCTGGTCGATATATTCAAAAAAGCCTTAAAACGATTGTATGCTATAGACAATATTGCAATAATTCAGCACTTTTAAAACAAAGTCTTAAAGCTGATAGTTAATGATTAATATTACATTAGAACTTGTGACCTACATATATTACGATCTACACATCAAATCGTTACGAATTTAGCAAAAGAGTTTCCCAAAAACATAAACAATAACAATAGGAAAATGTTCAACGGCGGTGGTTCGAACTATACTAGACCTTATGGAAAATTAGAAACGACACCTGTTTATATATTCTATGTATTTATCCAAATAAAATCTCTTGTTCGTATGTACTTTGTTGTCTTACAGTGATTGTAATTACAAAAACGAGTCTGATTATTTCAAGAATTGTAAATTAAAAAAGAACTTATTTCTATTGAAGATGCTTTAAATTAAATTTAAACAAATATGAAGATGGTACAAAATCTTTTCAGATTATGGATGATTTCATAATATTTGCTAGGCGCTGTGATGAAGAAGAAACTGTACTTCTACCTTTCTACCTTTAAATTGGTTGTTCAGGTCTGACGTACGGTCGGTGTCATAACGGTGGTGTTGATTATAGATCAGTATTTGTGTTTAAGCTGGCTTTGGTGCAGGACGCTGCCACTCGAACCTATCTTAAACAACTTTAGCCCATTTTTTATCTTTGCGTAGCTTCAGTTATTAGACGTGATAATTTTCTTTTTGGAGTGTAAACTACATACATAAATTTTAGCTTTTTTTTAGTAAAAAATACATCTTTGTTATTAATTTTGTTTTTTTTTTTATTTTTTTTTTAAGTATTTTCGTGACAATTTTTGTGTATATTTTTAATTTGGAAACTATAAACAAACTATTTACAAAAAATTTGGCAATATTAAACAAATTTTTCAATTTATTTAATTGATAGTTGAAAAACTCATCGTATTGCTTGGGTCACCCGGTCGCCAAAATGCTTCAAAGACTTTGTCTGATTGGGTGTTTGTGCAATCTGAAAATAATAAATTGATTTAAAATATGTTATAGCTTCGGATAATTATTATTTTACTCACTGTTGGATAAACTGCAGTCAATTAGTTTAATATTAAAGTTTTTGTTATGACATTCTATTATTAATAGAGGAAGATTACTGCTACTATCGTTTTGTTCTGAAATATTATTTGAATTAAATATAATCACTGGTTTTTCTGTCCCTGTATGTGTTGTTTGTGTAGCTTGTGTTTCAGTTGTAGTAGGTTTGGCATTTGGCATTTCTGTAGTAATTGTGGGTGTTACTGTTGTGTTCAGTGTTGAGACGCTGCTCTTAACGGTGGTAGGAGTGTTGATCATGGTATTATCTTCACCTAACACAATTTCTTGATCAAGTATGCCTACTTCATCTTCCTCTGGCTGTAGTGTGACAGATGAGGTGGGGTCGTTTCTAATAGAGTTTGTACTACGAGATTCTCGTATTACTTCAACTCCTGAAACAGTCGTAGAGGACTGCAAATGTTCAATTTTTGTTGATTCTGATGGTGAAGTGTGTGTATCAATTGTTATTGGTGTAGGAGTAGTGACATTGTCTTGTTGAGGAGTTGTGTTTTGTGTTGCTGTTGCAAAAATAATTGTTTTGAAGTATTCAAATATATGTGAATATGTAGAGTACAAAGTTAAAACATTTCATTTCACTTACCTGTAATCATCACTTCCGATGCGGATTCTGGGACAACTATTTCATAAAAAATATTAAATTAGTGTATTGATAACTTTAAGTGTCGATTAAACTTACCTTTAAAGGATCTTTCAGAAGAAGGAGTTATAGTCATTAAGGAAGTAGTAGTTTTAGTTGACACCTGCGCGGCATCTGTAGTACTAACAGAGATAGCTGAAGTAGTTGCAGCTACTGATTGTGGTGTGGGCGTAACCACAGACAACCTTTCCACACTTGGTTGCGGTCGTCGTGTTGTTGGTGATGTACCAGAAACGCCTCCTTCGGTAGTTGCGGATGAAGTGCCTGGGCTACTGCTAGAAGATGTGTTTGGTGGTATGGTGGTTGTAATAGTTGGTTTAGATGTTGTTAAAGAATTTTGTTTAGAGCCTTCACTAGTCGTTGCTACAGCTGGTGTTGAAGGATTTTTAGTATTACTGGCACTAGATGAAGAAGATGAAGTAGTGGAGGTTTCTGATTGTGGTGCAGATGAAACCATAGACAACCGTTCTATATTTGGCTGTGGTTGTGGTGTTGTTGATGATACACTAGAAACGCTTTCTGGGGTAGTTGCGGATGTAGTGCTTGGGTTATTGCTAGATGGTGCATTTGGTGGTATGGTGGTTGTAATAGTTGCTTCAGATGTTGTTAAAGAATTTTGTTTAGAACCTGCACTAGAAGTTGTTACACCTGGTGTTGAAGGATTTTCAGCATTACTGGCACTAGATGAAGAAGATGCAGTAGTGAAGGTTTCTGATTGTGATGCAGGTGTAACCACAGACAACTGTTCTACACTTGGCTGTGGTTGTGGTGCTGTTGACGATGTACTAGAAACGCTTCCATGGGTAGTTGCGGATGTAGTGCCTGGATTACTGCTAGATGGTGCATTTGGTGGTATGGTGGTTGTAATAGTTGGTTTAGATGTTGATAAAGAACTTTGTTTAGAGTCTGCACTAGTAGTTGCTACAGCTGGTGTTGAAGGATTTTTAGTATTACTGGCACTAGATGAAGAAGATGAAGCAGTGGAGGTTTCTGATTGTGGTGCAGGTGTAACCACAGACAACCGTTCTACATTTGGTTGTGGTTGTGATGATGAAACGCTTCCATGGGTAGTTGCGGATGTAGTGCCTGGGTTACTGCTAGATGGTGCATTTGGTAGTATGGTGGTTGTAATAGTTGGTTTAGATGTTGTTAAAGAACTTTGTTTAGAGCCTTCACTAGTCGTTGCTACAGCTGGTGTTGAAGGATTTTTAGTATTACTGGCACTAGATGAAGAAGATGAAACAGTGGAGGTTTCTGATTGTGGTGCAGGTGTAACCACAGACAACCGTTCTACACTTGGCTGTGGTTGTGGTGCTGTTGATGATGTACTAGAAACGCTTCTATGGGTAGTTGCGGATGTAGTGCCTGGATTACTGCTAGATGGTGCATTTGATGGTATGGTGGTTGTAATAGTTGGTTTAGATGTTGATAAAGAACTTTGTTTAGAGTCTGCACTAGTAGTTGCTACAGCTGGTGTTGAGGGATTTTTAGTATTACTGGCACTAGATGAAGAAGATGAAGCAGTGGAGGTTTCTGATTGTGGTACAGGTGTAACCACAGACAACCGTTCTACACTTGGTTGTGGTTGTGATGATGAAACGCTTCCATGGGTAGTTGCGGATGTAGTGCCTGGGTTACTGCTAGATGGTGCATTTGGTAGTATGGTGGTTGTAATAGTTGGTTTAGATGTTGTTAAAGAACTTTGTTTAGAGCCTTCACTAGTCGTTGCTACAGCTGGTGTTGAAGGATTTTTAGTATTACTGGCACTAGATGAAGAAGATGAAACAGTGGAGGTTTCTGATTGTGGTGCAGGTGTAACCACAGACAACCGTTCTACACTTGGCTGTGGTTGTGGTGCTGTTGATGATGTACTAGAAACGCTTCTATGGGTAGTTGCGGATGTAGTGCCTGGATTACTGCTAGATGGTGCATTTGATGGTATGGTGGTTGTAATAGTTGGTTTAGATGTTGATAAAGAACTTTGTTTAGAGTCTGCACTAGTAGTTGCTACAGCTGGTGTTGAGGGATTTTTAGTATTACTGGCACTAGATGAAGAAGATGAAGCAGTGGAGGTTTCTGATTGTGGTACAGGTGTAACCACAGACAACCGTTCTACACTTGGTTGTGGTTGTGATGATGAAACGCTTCCATGGGTAGTTGCGGATGTAGTGCCTGGGTTACTGCTAGATGGTGTATTTGGTGGTATGGTGGTTGTAATAGTTGGTTTAGATGTTGTTAAAGAACTTTGTTTAGAGCCTTCACTAGTCGTTGCTACAGCTGGTGTTGAGGGATTTTTAGTATTACTGGCACTAGATGAAGAAGATGAAGTAGTGGAGGTTTCTGATTGTGGTGCAGGTGTAACCACAGACAACCGTTCTACACTTGGTTGTGGTTGTGATGATGAAACGCTTCCATGGGTAGTTGCGGATGTAGTGCCTGGGTTACTGCTAGATGGTGCATTTGGTAGTATGGTGGTTGTAATAGTTGGTTTAGATGTTGTTAAAGAACTTTGTTTAGAGCCTTCACTAGTCGTTGCTACAGCTGGTGTTGAGGGATTTTTAGTATTACTGGCACTAGATGAAGAAGATGAAGCAGTGGAGGTTTCTGATTGTGGTACAGGTGTAACCACAGACAACCGTTCTACACTTGGCTGTGGTTGTGGTGCTGTTGATGATGTACTAGAAACGCTTCTATGGGTAGTTGCGGATGTAGTGCTTGGATTACTGCTAGATGGTGCATTTGATGGTATGGTGGTTGTAATAGTTGGTTTAGATGTTGATAAAGAACTTTGTTTAGAGCCTTCACTAGTCGTTGCTACAGCTGGTGTTGAAGGATTTTTAGCATTACTGGTACTAGATGAAGAAGATGAAGTAGTGGAGGCTTCTGATTGTGGTGCAGGTGTAACCACAGACAACCGTTCTACACTTGGTTGTGGTTGTGATGATGAAACGCTTCCATGGGTAGTTGCGGATGTAGTGCCTGGGTTACTGCTAGATGGTGTATTTGGTAGTATGGTGGTTGTAATAGTTGGTTTAGATGTTGTTAAAGAACTTTGTTTAGAGTCTGCACTAGTAGTTGTTACAGCTGGTGTTGAAGGATTTTTAGTATTACTGGCACTAGATGAAGAAGATGAAGTAGTGGAGATTTCTGATTGTGGTGCAGATGTAACCACAGACAACCGTTCTGCACTTGGCTGTAGCTGTGATGTTGTTGATGGTGTACCAGAAACGCTTCCTTCGGTAGTTGCGGATGGAGTGCTTGGGTTACTGTTGGGTGATGCGTTTGGTGCTATGGTGGTTTTAATACTTGCATCAGATATTGGTGAAGAACTTTGTTTAGAGCCTGCACTAGTAGTTGTTGTAGCTGGTCTTGCAGTTGGTATAACTGATATTGAAGAATTTTCGATACTACCGGAAGTAAATGAAGTGGTGGGAGTTTCTGATTGCGGTGCAGAGGTACCCGCAGTCAAACGTTGAATTACCTTTTGTGGTAATGCAGATGAATCGCTTTCTGTCGTGCTGGATGATGCGGGTGGTGCAATTGTAGTTTTAATAGTTGCTTCAAAATTTAGTAAAGGAAGCTGCGTGGTACCGGTGCTAGTAACTGTATCAGTTGCGTTTGGTACTGTAGTGGGTTTAGAAGTCGTTTTAGATTCTGTTGCTGAGTTTTGGGTGGACTCGGTATGGAGACTTTTGGCAGCTGCTGTTGAAGGATTTTCAGTATTGCCGGAGGTAGATGAAGGAGTTGAAGATTCGGGTTCTGGTGCAGGGGTACCTGCAGTTAAACGTTTAATTACGTCTTGTGGTAATGGAGCTAAAAGGTCTTCTGTCGTGCTGGATGGTGTGCTTGGTGTTGTGGTGGGTTTAGCAGTCGTCTCAGAATTAGAAATTGTAGAAGATGTCAGTTGTGGAGCAGAATCTAATGCAGACAAACTTTGAATGCTTGGTTGGGGTGGTGATAATGGCGGTGATAAACTAGTAATGTTGCCTACAGTTGTTTTTGATGAAGAGCTTTCAGTAGTGCTGTGTTGTTTATTTGGAATTGTGGTGGCTTTAGTACTCGATTCAGAGGAGACGCTGGACGTGGTTACATCAGACGGTGTTCGTCTTGTTGAAGTTAGAGATGCAGATGTTGCTATATCAACTTCTTCAGATTTTATACCCATTTCAGTATCATCTATGGGTGATGTGTCCATTGATGCACTTGCTGGTGTTGCTGTTGTTGCTAGTGTTGCTGGTGTTGTTGGTTTGTCTGTTCCTTTTACATTTTTATTTGAATTATTTGTTGTTGTTATTCTTTCACTTTCTGTAGTGCTGGGTGGTTTATTTGAAATTGTGGTGAGTTTAGTACTCGATTCAGAGGAGATATTGGACGAGGTTACATCAGACGGTGTTCGTCTTGTTGAAGTCAGAGATGCAGGTGTTGCTATATTAATTTCTTCAGGTTTTATACCCATTTCAGTATCATCTATGGGTGATGTGTCCATTGATGCACTTGCTGGTGTTGCTGTTGTTGCTAGTGTTGCTGGTGTTGTTGGTTTGTCTGTTGCTTTTACATTTTTATTTGTTTTACTCGTTGTTGTTGTTCTTTCACTTGATGTACCAGTGGTAGTTGCTTCTTCGACGTCTTCACTTAAAATATTCGGTTTATTCGTTGTTGTTATTCTTTCACTTGATGTACCAGTGGTAGTTGCTTCTTCGTCGTCTTCACTTAAAGCACTCGGTTTATCCGTTGTTGTTATTCTTTCACTTGATGTACCAGTGGTAGTTGCTTCTTCGTCGTCTTCACTTAAATTATTCGGTTTATTCGTTGTTGTTATTCTTTCACTTGATGTACCAGTGGTAGTTGCTTTTTCGTCGTCTTCACTTAAAGCACTCGGTTTATCCGTTGTTGTCATATTTTCACTTGGTTTAGCAGTAGTCAATTCTTCTATACTGGCTTTACTTAAAATGCTTGGGCTGTTCGCCGTTTTTGTGGTTTCACTTGGCTTAATAGTTGTTGCAGTTGATTCAGTTTGTGCTTTATTTACAAACATTGCTTCTTTCCCTGCTGGTTTTTCTGTGCTTGTCCTAGGTAAGTTATATGGTTTCTCTTTTTCATTAGAATTGTCTAAAATTAACACCAAATTATATTTAAAGAATTTTTGTAAATTAAATATATTTTTAAGAATTATTACCGCAAGGATTAGAATTTTCAATTGGATATTCACTATCTTCCGTAGAATCGTCTGAATAACTTGGTGGATATTGTGAATAAAATGACGGTTCATGTTTTGGATAATTTTCGATGGGTGTCTGAGTTTTATGTACACATTTTTTTCTACTATTGGAGAAGACCATACCATGTGGGCAGGAATATACACGCGCTGTTAAATCATAACTACATCTGTAATATATTGATTTATCTGTGGTAATAGGGAAACGACCTTCTGTAACGCAATTTGGTTTATAGTGTTGCATTGGATGATTACCACAATGACCAGTCGAGTTATTAAAAACCTGGGCGTAAAATTTAATTAACATAGGGATGAAAAAACTCTATTGTAAATTTTAGAACTTACCTCCATACCATTACATTTGCCAAATATAACACAGTAGTCTGTACAAACGAAGTAATAATGATGGCGGTTAGGATGATATTGAGTACCACGATAATTACCTGGACAACGTTTATTCTAGAAAAAAGCATTTTATTTACATTAATATGATATTTTTGTATTACAAATGCATTGTCTTTCGACTTACATAGTCAACTAAAAGTGGTATTCCTCCGCCAGGAAATGTTGTCACAACACCACGCCTACTATCGTAAATTGTACCAGGCGGTGAGAATAACGTGGGCTAAAAAGATATATATGGTATAGAGATATATAAAGATAATAAAATAATTTTATTTTAAAACTGAGAGTAATCTTTTTTTCTATCAGAATGTTTATATATAAACATAAACTAAAACACACATTATTATAAAATATAATTGTAATATTTATAATATAATATAATAATGTAAAATATTGTATTAATTTTATATTAAATAAAAAATTATATATTACTTATATAATTGTATAAAGTAATTATATAGTATAAATACGTTACACGTATTCAACGTAATACACATATACTACATACTTTATACAACATTATGTTATTAAAAAAATGGACTTAAATTAGTATGTAGTGTTTTAGATAACTCACATATAAGTTCTTGTATTTTTACATGTGTTATAATATATATGGAATGAAAATGGAAAGATACAATGGTTTAAGATACAATCTGAAGAAGTTGACTTTGATATCATAGTTTAGATAGATATTAGGATTGTGATAGTAGTACATTAACTACTAAAACCATATACCACATTATGTCATTGGAAAAAAGATCTTCAATTAGTATGTAGTTTGTCAGATAACCCATATAAGTTCTTCTATTTGTGTATGCATTATTATATGTATATTGAAATTTAAAGATACAATGGTTTGAGGTGCAAGTTGAGGAAACTAACTTTGATGTCATAGATATCAGTATTGTGATAGTAGTACATTGTCTGAATGCGAGACCACTGTCAAAATGATTCGGAGATAAATGGATGTCAATATCGACGGAAACACAATACATATGTAAAACATAACGCAATCATGTTTTTACGTGTAGTAAAATAAAATATATTTAAAAGTAGAAAAAAAAGATAATAATATTTATATACTCAGCATATTTTTTCAAATTTTTAAATTGAAAGAAAGAAATGAATACATATATAAAGCTTTCGTGTTGTATAGTTGAACTAATAAACTGGGCTTTATTGAAAGATGTTACTTATTAAGTTATGTGCAAAAGGCTGAGTTTAGTTGATAGGTATCAGATAGGTATTAAATAGCTATCGACATATGTTATTATAGACAGAACCAGCACTCATCCGTTACATAGAAGACTTAGACCCTACGAAATAGCTCACTTCTGATAGATATTAATTTATTGATTAGTTCGTATTGTGTAATTTTAATACTTGTTATTCTATTATTCTGTTATTTATTATAAAAAAGAAATTAGGTTTATATGTGAGACATAAATATTTGTCAACGTATTATTATATTATACTTCAATGTTATATATGATAATGATGATATGATAACACTTGAAAACTGTAAACAGAGCTTAAACTATTTCTATAAAATTTGTAAATTAATTTTATTTTGTTATATGTTTTTACCTGATAGGGTTCATATGGTATTGCTGGCCGATATTGTGGTCCATAATAACCAGTATGGTGTGATAAGGTATCTTGATAAGATGGTCCAGGATAAGATGGACCCGGATAAGACGGACCATGATAAGATGGACCAGGGTAATACATCGGTTGCGCTATATATCGGCTTACAGTGAGCCGTACTTTATTTAATGCGATAAATCCAATTAAAATTATTATCTTATTAAATATGTAATACATTTTGCTTTTGATTTTGTTTCTTTTCCACTATTTGAATATTAATTTCGTATATTAATTAATTTAATTCGTTACTCATTTAATATTTATTGGCACAGTAGCTTGAATTTTCAGTTTTCAAGGACACAGAGATATTTTCCTTGTTTGCTTATTATAAACTTTTTAATCCTTATACCGTATAAGGATAATTTATATTCACTTCACTTTTATGTTCGATAGGCAGGGTTGCTTTTTTTAAATTAAATTTAAGATGGCGACTTCCGTTAAATCCAAATATGCTTCCGAAGTTCACTTGCGGTTGTAACACTTCGAGTCGCCAGTTTCGATTGTCATATTTCCGCTTAATACCGTGAGCTTTTAATAGTTTTTTGTTGTTGTCGATACTCTGCCAAAAACAAGAGCAGCTACTCACCTACTTGCATAATAAAACAGCGGATGCTTCACTTTATCACCTATAAAAAAATTGTGAGCAGCAATTAAAATAAAAACTATTTTCTCACATATAAATGCATTACTACATAACAATTAATAAAAATAATAAAATACAAAAAATATAGTAAAGAAGAGAATACCAAATGGTGAAAGAACGCCGAAACACGAATTTAGCAAAAAATATTTCGCGATAAGCGTGTCTTCAGAACATTCGAAGTCAAGTTCATGATTCAAGCGTTGCTTACAAAATTGCTCTACTCTTTCTTCCGGAACTGCATCGTTTACACTGCTGCGTACATGTTTTTTAATGCGTTTTCGAGAAGACATTGTTTTTCTTACACAATCTGAACACTTTTATTATTTACATAATATATTAATTATTATTGCTTTCTGAACGAAACGACCACCTGAAGATGAGGCATTCTTGGTGTTAACGTCAGTAAACGTGCGTATGATGTTTCATAATAGCAGATTCTTTATGTACTACCAACCGGAAATATCTTCATAGACCCAATAATTCCGGATTGTAGAAGCGCTTTGCTATAAACAACCAAAAAAAAATAGGTTCTACACTTTCTATGCAGATTCTTCAATTACTGTAGACCGGAAATTTCTTCACAATTATAATACTTCCAGACTATAGAAATGTTTCGCCAAAAAAAAAATAGCTTCACTATTATTAATTTAACATTCTAATCGTATTTAAGAGAGTAATCGCATTAGGGCCTATATATATTATTTATGTATAATAGTATAGATTGGAAATATATTTCTATAGTCCCAATTAAATAAGATATTAAAATCACTTTCCTATAAAAAAAATAGTAGCTATTATATTACCATATTTTATGTACATTTAACATAAGTAATTATTTCAGTGCTTATGTAGATTCTTAATGTAGTATAGACCGGAAGTAATAAAACAGGCCTAATAAAACTTGTTGTTGAAATCGTTTTGCTATAAAAATCAATTAAGTAGTAGTATTAGTTGAAAATTTAAGTATCTATAAGTAAATCTTATGTAAAACTTACTATACTAATAATCTAACTGTATGAGTTAAAAATACTGATCTTAAATATTATTACTCAACATATCCAGACTTTAATTTTTAGAGTTATATTAAACATTTATCTCTGTTCTTCCATATTTATACTATCAGTGGTGAACATATCACGGACGTTTGGCCTAGAATGAAAGCAATTAGATTTAAAAAAGTGTCTTTAGAAAAATAGTACTGTGCTTAATATAAAAAGTAATGATTTTGTTTGTGTTTGCAAAGCAGAAAAATAATAATTGATAAAATGTCTTCAATGTAACATAAATTTTAATGTGCCGAGTCCACACCATAGCCCTCTATTAAACAAATTTAGAAACATAACATTGTTTTATATAAAATGAATAAAGCTAAGATTATTAAAAAGTACTTCTACTATCAGTGATGAGTCACTTTTCTTTTGAAACGGAATGCCACTAGTATTTCTGAGTAACTTAGGAGTCTGTAGATTAGTCTAATATATGGTTTAAAATAAAATCTGGAATAATATAACATATTTTTATCATATTTTATAAATATATAGATATAGATACATAGATATATATAATATATCATTTTTTTTTTTGGAACAAAAATATTAAACACTTATATCTGTTATACTCGTATTTATCACGTGTTTCTTACAAAAACCCAGTATTTGGATTCAATTCGTCATATGGCATAGGACAAAGTAATATTTAAAATTAATATTTATTTATTTATAAGTCATTTTTTAAGTCAATTTTAGTTTTATGACTTCAAATATATAGTATATGGACAAAAATCGAAACCCTTCGAAATGGTGACACACATGATGTGTCTTTCTTTGAACCAAACATTACTTTGCGCTTACCTTCAGTATACAAAACCATTTTATGTTATATTGAAGGGAATGTAGTTATTAAGAGTAATTGTTCAGTAAAATAAGTCACGTTTTTCAAAATTATCTGCACATTATTTGTAAAAATTTTTTTAATCACAAATTTAGGTGTATTGCATTACATTATTGAAAAGCTTCAAATAATAAAAGCTCTGAGTTAATAATAAAATATGATATATAATAAACAAAAAACCTTTAAATTTATGTTGATAGTTTCTTCAATTTTGACGAAATGTGATTGTCTTTACATTCTATTTATAAGTTTAATAATTTTTTTATATTGTCACAAAATTTTTTATTTATAATTAAAAAAGCTACAATGGGCAGTGTGAATCCAAACTAATATGACCTAGGCACAGTCGAGATAGAAGTGACAAAACTGGTGGCAGATCGGAGAGGCCTTTAGCCAGTGGACATCCATGCCTAAGAATTGGGTATTCCATTCAATCAAAAGTGCGGAAACTCCAAGAAAGAAAAGAAAAAAGTAACTATTGAGCATTTTGTTTGCCAAGATTGAGACATTCCATTATGTAAGTTTACGAACTAATAAACCTTAAAGACAGGATAAATTTAGAACGCAACAAAAATTTTTTTTATCAACTGCGTAGGTTATATTTAAGACCACTATTAATACTACGATTATGAATCGGGTTTGTCACGCATATTTTCAAAACAGTGTTTATGCGTTAATTGAATAGAAGAGGAAGCTCTGTCGCCATTAAATTAAACAATCAATCAATGCGTATCCATTTTGTATGAATTAAACCAATGATAGTCTAAGTCTATCAATTCCATTTATTTCTATATTCGTTGTTTAGATTCATATAAAGTTCTTGCACAAAATTTATTTTTATTAGCCCAAAAACTAAGAAACTACTTTACTGACACCCAGAGAGAATTAAAACTACAGATTTTTTTCAGGTTGATAAAGAACATATTAGTTTATATTGTGTAACTTTTGTTCTAAATAAAAAATTCTACGAATATTGAGGTCAATATTACTACCATCAAAAGAAAAGCATCAAAAGATTTAGTATCAGAATGTCAGCCCCTCCAACTGTCTATTGAAAATAAAATGTAAAAAGATTATAATCGTCGGTGCATACAAGATCAATAACCGAAATCTAAAACCAGTAAGTTAGAACAAATGCCGAGCAATAGGTTTTGTATTCATACATTGTGACCGAAAGGTTTTCGGAGGTTCTCATTTAAAATTCGCGCGCTGTATATTTTTCGATATTTTAAGTTTATGTAGTTTGGCGCATGTCCTTTACAGCCAATGAGCGCGTCTGTCGGACAGTTCGTTTACGGCAGCTGTTGAAACCAGTTCACCTCAGTAGTGCGTTGCGAAAAAAACAATGGAAAAAAATATTGAACAAAGAGTTTGCATCAAATTTTGTTTTTCGAACGAAATTTCGTGTGCAGAATCGTTGCGAATGCTACAAAAGGCTTATGGGGAATCAGTTTTATCGAAAACTCAAGTTTATGAGTGGTACAAAGCCTTTCAGGACTGTCGTACGACCGTCGAAGACATGCCGCGTTCTGGACGACCTTCGACCTCTACCACCGACGAAAACATTGAAAAGGCAAAGGAAATCGTGTTCAAAAATCCTCATGTGAGTGTTAGAGAGATAGCACGAGAGCTAGGCATCGGTCGTGAGATGGCTCGTTTGATTTTGGTGGACAATTTGTGTATGCGACGTGTCAACGCCCGGCTTGTTCCGATTCACCTCAATTTGTTCAACATTATCAACGATTTTAAGGCCAAACATTCAATAAATACCATCGAACAGCCACCGTATTCACCTGATCTTGCACCGTGTGACTTTTTCCTGTTTCCCAACCTCAAATTACCACTCAGAGGAACGCGTTTTGAATCCATAGAAGACGTAAAACAGAATTCGCAGAGGGAACTCAAAGCCATACCGGAAAGCGCCTATAAAAATGTTGATGGTGGAGAACGTTTGGATTTTGTGTATCGCTCTAATGGGCATATTTTGAAGGAGATAAAATAAATATTGATGAAGATTAAGAATTTTGCGTTTTATTTATTTATGACCGGAAACTTTTCGGTCACAATGTATGTATAATATTCTTGATATTCAGATGTCTGAGTTGGTGAATCGGCACCTTTACTCTATTTTATCTGTGGACAGTTTTAAGTCACACTAAGAATAACTGAGTATGGGGCTTTATATATATATATATATTATAAATTTTTAATTTTGTGCTTTTACTAAGTAAATATATAGGGAATCTGATGAAAATATTAGGTGAGAGTTTTCTTGAACTCTCTACGATCCTCTAAAGTCATAAAAGTTGGGAGTAAGTGTATTTTTAGAAGTAAGTGTATTTTTGATTTCATTAAAGTAAAAATTGAGATACCAGGAAGATTCAACGGAGCGTATACTAGGTGGTATTCGACAATGAGTGGGTACTTCCATTAGTTAAGTCAATGGAATAATGTGATGTATATAAATGAGTTGAAAAAATGCAATCCATTAGGATTAACAAATCAATTCCTGTTACAATTCATCAATTCCTGTATCTCTCATTGAAACATAGGGCCTCAACTGACTTGACAAATTATATATCTTTATTATAATATATCCCTATAATATAAAACAAAAACATTAAGCCATTAAGATAGAATATTAATGTATTATATTTAAAATCTGTTGTCGCATCTATTCTTTTCAATATTTCTGCATGAAAAGACTACTTGCCGCGTGAACAGTGGAAGAATATCCTATAATGAGCCAAGCGGACGAAAGTGAAAATTGGAATGCAAGAATCGCATCATCTCATAGAGTAACCTATTTCTCTGTAAGTGTAGACCAATGTAAAGTACAATACAAAATAAATACGAAGTTCATTTAAGTCAAAGGGGAAAGAGAGAGCAAAGCTTTAACATATGTGAAATAAATCATATTAAATACCCAAATGTGCTCTGAGAACTAATCTTAAAAGTTGAACTTTTCA